GTTCTACATGGTGATCATATCTTGACCCTTTTAGGCCACCGCACCGCTCTAGCATTCCGCCGCCGTCCGGGATAAAGGGACATGGGGGATAATCGCGGTCAGCGGTGTATTCCCTCTGGCTGCAAAAAACGTCGGCGTCTAGATCGTAACTAATGGCTAGTATATAGCACATTTATCGCCACAAACCGCAGCTTCTATACGTTTTGCTGAGTTGCTCCCATCACTCTCGTTGAACATTTAAACTGCCTCCCCGGAGCGGGAAACCAGCCGAAAGAGAGAGGGAGGGCGAGAGAGAGAGAGGGGTGGGGGAAAAGCGTGCTGTTACTGCACCGCCATGCAACCCGCTGTCCGCGTTTAAATCGACGCGGTTCACGTTCGCGATTTTTCTTCTCCGACAATGAAGACCGCGATTTTAGAGCGGGGTCACAATGCAACCTTTGTGAGAGCAAAAAAAAACTCCAAGGTCGTTTCTAAATGTCCCACCCCCCTCCCCGCGCGCTCGCGAACATTTTGTACTCGATTGAAAAGATGCGGGAGCCAGCGCTGGAGAGGGGAGGAGGAGGAGGGGGAGGGGGGAATAACATCGCGTCGGCTGCCCGCTTGAAATTCAACCCCGACACCGCGCGACGGCAAAACTGGGACATGACCTTCAGCGCGATGAAACAGTACAAAACCCGCGACTGCAGGTGATCGATCCCTTTACCGCGCCAGCCATTTATAATGTGCGCCGCTGATTCCAGCGTGACTGCAGCGTACAATCACACCCTGATATTAGACGCCCGCAGGGGCGCGCGGGGAATGGGAGGAGGAGGAGGAGGAGGAGGAGGAGGGGAAACGGGAACGGGAGGAGGGGGAGAAAACTTGAATGTCGAGTCGTAACAACCGAGCGCAGTAGGGCACTTAATAAATTGACCGCGATCATACCTGTATCTTGCTATCCAAGGTAAAAAAACAAAGGAAATATGTGGAACCTTTACTCGCGAACGAAAAAGTGACAGATAGGTAGAGAGAGGGATGGGAGAGAGAAAGGGGGAGCAGCATCAACGACTATGTCTGGCGTCTGGTTGAGTGAAGACTTGTGGAACAGCGACGAGTCATGCGAGAGAGGAACATGTCACGCGGATTGACAAACTGCCGTATTCGCGCCAAAGACACGACCGATTAGATAGCAGCGGCGCAACAATGTCGCATAACCCTAGCGCCTATAAATCAGTGATAAGGTCTTTGAACCGGCCCCGGGCAGCAGACGCAGGGACCAATGACTACGACCGTGACAAGCGCCCCGCAACTCGTTCGACGCAAACATCCCGCTCCCCTCCCTCGACTGAAGCACTACTCTACGCCTTAACCAGCGTTTCCGCTCGATAAAACACGATGGAAGAGAACGAACCCGCGGTGCCGCAGGGCAAGCTGCGGTAGAACTACGAGTCGTATACAAGCTGCGCGATCTCCTTTCCGGGCGCCATGGCAAAAGCTGTAATCACCGTGTTTTTGACATCTACGAGAAAGTGTATAGGTGTACGCGAACAAGGTATATACGTAATAAGTACTGCTGCTAATACGGGAACAGTTACTATAACATCACTACGCTGCTAACCCTGAGTGCTCGATAATAATAACGTTCTACAGAAACGAACTAGAGAAATAATTACATGCTTTCCAGCATTTTCAGGTTCCAACCTGAAGATCTGCTGCCTGCCCAGGTGTCACGCACACAACAATATCTATCTATCTCTCTCTCTCTCTCTCTCTCTCTCTCTCTCTCTCTTTCTCTCTCT